ATCTTTGAAACAACTGAAATTTAAAAATAAAAAAAATAGTAGAACACTATACGGTATTAATTAAAATTTGAAAAAAAAAGAAATTCTGCAATTAGAAAAAGAAAAAAAATCAATTAGGAATACAATTTATAAATAACTAAAATTGGTGATAAAAATAAATACTATTGAAAGAAAGACCATCTAAAATACATGACGAGATAAATTAAGTAACAGGCCTATAAAGGAGTACAGTGGTGGCGGTTGATACGACATATAAAAATTGTTAATAGAACACCAAATAAAATCCTAATTATGATTAAAAGGAGGGACGATAAGTAGGCCATGAAGCAAACGGGTAAGGCGGTTGCCGGGACTTCTAGAAAGTAAAAAAAACCATTAATAATCATATTCGATTTTTAAAATCTCAATGATAATAAAAAGGAGAAGCACTGGGCGGGGTGTTATAGGATCAAGGAGGCCGACTAGAGGGGGGGTGAATAGGCGGTTTTTCAAACTTTTGGCTAAAACCGAGTTTTATATGCGGAAGCGTAAATCAAAATGGTTTTGCACAATTCAAAACCTAAATCAACTCGTCTCAAGTAAGTGCACAAAGAAGCTAGTCTATGTTGAGGTTTGCAAGCCTAGGGTGATAATAGCACAAATAAAGTCTAGTATGTAAACTTGCTCAAAGTAAATTTGCACAAAATAAAGGAGACAAGAGACAAGGAATTTTCACCGAGGTTCGGAAACTCGCCGGTTTCCTAATCCCCGTTGAGGCGAGCCCAACTCTACCGCTCCACCACGAAGCCACCACACGCCCCTTTCGTCAAGGGGTGGGCAAGGCGGGGGCCGGCCCACGGAGAGGACTACCAAAGCCTTGATCACTAGGGTAATTCTTCCTTCACTCCGAAGGTGGTGAACTCCAAACCACTCACAACCGGCGCCGGGCCTCCTCCACAATCTCCTCGGAGAGGTTACCGGGCAACACCTCCACAAGCCGTCTAGGAGGCGGCAACCTCCAAGAGTAACAAGTCTAGGATGCTTGCCGAGGATGATCAAGTGCCACACTAGCTATAACAATGAAGCAATGCACTTGGATTGGCTTAACTCACTCTTTAACACCTCACTAGATAAACTAAGTGCACAAGGGTGTGAGAGCTCTTGCAAGGGTTCAAGATAATGCAATGGAGTGCCAAAATCTTGCCCTTGCTGCTGGGGAGTGGATATATATATACCCCAACCACCAAAACTAGCCGTTGGAGTCGAAATCCCCAACTTTGTGCTCTACCGGTCAGACCGCCATAGAGTGGCATGTCAGACCGGACTACTCTGTAACGGCTAGAAAACTAGACGTTACAGGGCAATCATTGAGCCCACTCAACTTGGCCGGTCAGACCGCAGTGAAGTGGCCGGTCAGACCGTCCACGGCTCGGTCTAACCGGTTGCGGCTCTGGCGGCTTTGTATCGCCACCAAAAACCAGGCCAGTGCAATAGACCAGTAGGGCCGGTCAGACCAGCCTTACCACGCCGGTCAGACCGGCTAATAGCCCCGGTCAGACCGACCTAAGGTCCACGGTCAGACCGCAGGTCACTTTTCAGCACAACCAACCGTTAGTAAAACGACGATATCTCTTGACTCGGATCTCAGAATTTGGCGTTCTCGGACTCTATGGAAAGCTTATTCAAAGGGCTATCTAACCCATGAACAATCCATCCAAGAAACACAACTTTTCTCAGGGAGAAATGGCTCACACTCCAAAGGATACTCCACCGGACATAACCACATGAGGCTACCCAAACCTATAGGACGTGCCCACTTCTCTCTTTGTTTGGGACTTGATAAAACTCACCACACTTGGCTAGACAAGCCCACAAAATGCACCTATATGCATATGAACTAATATGGCACAAAATCATCCACATGCTCGCTTCATAGACCCCTCTTGATAGTACGGCACCTATCTAGTAAATCCGGTCTACACCAAACACCAAGACCGGGAAAAAGACTAAGAAAACATTCTTAGCTCCATTATACCTTTGCCTTGCGCCATCCAACTTGGGGTCAATGCTTGAGCCAACATCAACACTTGTGACCATTCGGTTGAACCATGTTTATGCCGAGGTCTTTACCATCCTTTGTCAAGACTTTATTCTCATCACAAGCTTGACTTCATTCTTGCCAACATGACAATGTCCTTGGCTTGGTGACCATTAACCCATGGTGTCATTCATTAGCCTCATCGCAATTAGATCTATTCCTTTGCACGGCTCAAAGGAAAACATTAATCCCAACAAATTGGTTGGCATCCTCCACTTGGTGACCAACCGGTTGCATATGAAAGATATGGATATGTTTGTTGAGTATTCATTAACATCATAAGTGTCATATACTCGTATGCAAGCTCAAGTGCAAAGATCCGATATATATAATAGGTGAACAACATGGATCTAAAACATGCACAATAAATGTATAGGATTTGCTCCCCCTAAGTATATGCATACAAAGAAATATACAAGAGAGACAAGTGTATGCATAAGTAAAGAAGAACCAATGGGGGTTTATCCTATACACATAGAGAAGGCATATGTAGTAATGATGAAGATAAACAAAAAAACACATACCTTCATGATCTCCATGTTCTCAATGTAAAGGAGACTAAATAAGATAAGACTCAAGTAAACATTAGTCTCACACTTATATAACAATAACATGGAAATCATATATATGAACCTATCAAAAAGTAGGAGATAAGAAGTGATACATATCGCTTTATCTCCATGAATTTCATCCTTGTCATAATTAAGGTCCATCACCAAAGAATGCATATCTACCACATCTCATTATCGGGAAATAACCTTGTTGAAAACTTATGTAAAAGAGAGGTTAATCCCATAAACATCGGTTTATCATCTATCACCAAAGTAACAATTACACAAATTGTTTAATCCAAGATCTTTTAATCTTTTCTCTCTTTTGTGATAGATAATAATCCGATATAAATAATACAAAGAGATGAGATGAAAGATAATTTCAAATCAAGGTAGAGATCTTATAATGAATAAAATATAGAATAAGCTCCCCCTCAAGATGTGCATACATATGGATATGAAGGAATGCATATGCACATAATCAATCAAGATCAATGAGGGAGCTCACACTATATTTTGGATCCACAAGAGAGACCAAGTTAGAATATGTGAAGTTTAATACATACCTCCCATCATTTTTACTTTCATATCCAAATAAGACTAGTCAAAGAAAGGCTCATAAAAATGTTAGTCTCATATAATTAGATTTGTCATTAATCACCGAAACCAAATTAAGGCACTTGAACTTACAGGTGTATAGGAGTATAGTTGCAGAGCCGCCGACGGTTGGCAAGACTTCTAGAAAATAAAAAATGAATTCCAACGATAGTTATGCTCGATTTTTAGAATTCCAATGACGATAAAGAGTAGCCGGCGGATAGGTTGTAGAGGAGTATAGTGGCATCGTTTGAAGTGACTTCTAAAAATTATAAAAAATAAAACTCAGCAAGACAATAAACTCTAAAAACTAAAAGGTCCAAATTTTAAAGGTTTAGAACTTCTTAAAAAGTAAAAAAAACAATGAAAATCATGTTCGATTTTGAAATCTCAATGACAACAAAGAAGGGAGGCAGCGGGAGAGCCATAGCTGCTGACGGTTTGGCGAGACTTCTAGAAAGTAAAATTGAACCTGAACGATAATTATGTTCGATTTTTAAAATCCCAATAACAATAAAGAGAAAAGATAGTGGATGGGCCGTAGAGGAGTATAATGGCAGCGTTTGACGGGACCTCTAGAAATTATAAAAAGAAACCCAATAAGACAATAAACTCTAAAAAACTATAAGATCTAACTTTTAAAAGTCCCGAGGAGAATGAATAGAAATAGTGGTAGATCGAGTAAGCAAATAAAGAAAACATGAGGATGATAAGGTTTGATCTTTTAAAGTCTTAAGATAACGAGATAGCTATTTAATAAATTATAAGTAAAATCATACTTAAAAAAATATATGATTTTGTTTGGGTTCTAGCCGCGTAATTGCGTAGGCCACCCAGCTAGTTTAGTGAAAGTCAGAGTTTTAAATAGGGATTGTGTGAGGGGATGAGGATTGAGGAATCAAGACCTAAGTAGAGAGGAGCCGGCAACCGGAATGGGTATGGTTAACAGATTGGAAAGAACGACTCAATTGAGGTGAGCAAGGAAATCCGACTGCTGTTAGCGTGAGGCAACAATAATGTATAGTGTTGGAGGGTTGTTTTTGTGACCGTAAAAACTGGGTTTTATATGATGTGAGAGGTTCCACATGTTTTAGAGGTGTTCTTCTTGTTATAAATTAACGAATTTGTTATATCATGACAAATGCCTCCTTTCTCATTTTAATTTCTCGGTGTATTGCTGGTGCAAATGTGTGAAAACGCGAAAGGAATTCCCGGTATTGCCCTACAGAAAGAAAAAAGAGTGATGTACAATCATTATCGTGTGCAAGAACAATACGACCCTATTTAGATCCGACTTCGATGTGAAGTTCTTCAGACTTCCGCTGAAATTTCTGCGTTATCCAAAACGGGCCCAAGCGGAAAGAGGCAAACAGAACAGGCCTTTGTTTCCTACGATCAGAGGAAGAAAACTGCGGGACAACTCTTGCAAGGAGTACGTGTACGTCATCGCCATCTGGAAGGCCCAAAAGGAAAGCGCATGTGGCTCACCGCGAGGCCTCCACGAGGACGCCGAACCCAAACACAAGCCAATCTGGCTCTGCCAGCCCATCGCCACGATGCCCCGAAGCACGCACACACAGATGGGCGGCACACGGTCACACACAACCTCACGCCGTTTGCTGCAGGAGAGGGGAGGAGCCGGCCACCGAACCCGAGCCCCCAAAGCGCACGCCAGTACGCCACCCGCCCACCCCGCGACGCCTCGGGGCGGCCACGGAGGCGAAGCCACCAGCGTGTTCTTGTTCCCTCCCGCCGACGGCGCAGCGCGCGCCACGTCTTCCCACCCCCCCCCCCCCCCCCCACACGCCGAGTCCCCAACTCGCGAATAAATCGGCGAGGGCGGTTACTGCGATCCCTTCACCGCCCAACGCCATTCCGAACCAGGTTCGTCGTCGCCATGGCCGCAACGGGCTGGTCCGACCTGCCGTCGGAGCTCCTCTCCGAGATCGCCGGCGGCCTCGTCGAGCTGGGGGACATCGCGCGGTTCCGGTCGGTCTGCTCCTCCTGGCGCGCGGCGGCGGGTGGGGCGGCGGCCGCTCCCCCGCCGCAGCCGCCGTGGCTGCTTCTCCCGTCCTCCCCCTCCAGGCTCTTCTTCTGCCCGCGGGAGGACCGCCTCTACCCGGACCTGCGGATGCCCGCCCTCACGGCGGAGGCCCACCGCCGCCGCCGCCGCCGCCTCTACGCCTCCCCGCACGGGTGGACGCTCGCCATCGACCCCACCGACCTCGCCGCGTCGCTCCTCCACCCCTTCACCGGCGCCGTCTGCGCCCTCCCGCCGCTCCCGGCCTTCTTCGCCGAGACGGACGACCTGGCCTGGGACTGGTCGCCGCACGGCGTCATGGCGTCCTGCGGCGAGGGACTCCTCTTCTACGCCTCCGACCCGCCCGCCGCCGCCTGGGCCCCGATCCCCGCCATGGCCGACTGCAACGCGAGCAGCATCAACTACTCCGGCGGCGAGTTCTTCGTCTTCGAGGAGGACGTCTGCCGCACAACCATCGTCGACGCCCTCACCCTCGCCATCGCGGCCGTCATCCCGGCGCCCGCCGTCGAGCTCCCCTCCGAGGCGCGCATCGCGGTGGCCGGCGACGAGCTCTTCCTTCTCGTCAAGTCCAAGTGGATGTACCTCTTCGGCGACGACATCGACTTCTCCAAGGTCTTTCGGGTGGATCACCGCAGCGTTGACTCGGCCTGGCAGGAGCTCACCGGCATCGGCGGCCGCGCCCTGTTCGTCGATTCCCTCCACGGGTTCGCCATGGAGACCGCGGGATTCGAGAACCTCGAGGGCAACACCATCTACTCCGTGACCACCAAGGAGGTGAATGATCGGCGTTCCACCACGGTGAAGTATAGCGTGTCGGTGTTCAGCCTGGAGCACCGGAGCTCCAAGAAGCTCGCGTGCCGCCTCAACAAGCTGGAGATGGCCCTCCGCGGCGAGACGCCTTCCTGGATCATACCAAGCTTGAACGAAGGATGAACGGAATCAGAGATTGCCGGATTGGTGGTTCTTGAAGCATTCGTGATCGACAAATCTCTGCCTCGGTCTCGGTAAATTCTTCGTTACCCTTGCAGTTGCATCAGCAGGGTGTTCAGCAAAGTTGGAAATCAATAATTCTGTTTAATATCTTGTTCTTTGTTTATTTTTTATTTTGTACATCTTGTCCATTAAAATATCTTTATTTCTGAAACTATATCACCCACGAAGCTTAGTTTCCTCAGTTGTATTTGTTGGGAACTTTTAAGTTTCGATGTCCACTGTCAATGTTGCCCTTGAATAAAGGTTTATGTCTTTGTTATATTAAAGTTGAGTTGCTTCAGTTCATACATATGGCTCCTGGAAAAAATTTATAACGGATTTTTTTTATGGATATACCCAAATAATTGACATGGATATACATGACGTTATGGATTTTTTTGGTCAACTTCTGTAATATCAGTGTCTGCCAAGGTGATATCAATTTGCATCAAGTTGATGGCACATTTCGCCAATAGGTGCGGGAGGCCGCAAATGTGTGGCCTACTGGCCTTGGTTGTGCTCAAACGTCTGAATTTGTGGTGAAGCTTTTGTGATGTGATTGCTCGAGTACAAGCAGTGATAGCCCATCTGCGGATGAAATCGTCCTGAAATGGATGTGCAATTCCTGATTCCTGTACGTGGGGCAAAGAGCTGACAGCAAAATAAGGAGATAGAGAAAAGGATGATAAGGAGATTACGCATGGGCGGCAGGGAAAATAATTATGGGATCAGTTATGTGCGGCGATGAACAAAGCATCAAATTCTCTGAAATCCTTTACCCTTCCTCCTCAATCTTCTCTTCTTCATCGATAAATCTAAGTGAAGAATCAGTATGCATAGCCGTGGCTGACTCGTCCATGATAGCGGTAGCTGGAAAGAGATGCTGAATTATGAAGAAACCCTGTTGCTGGAATAAGCAGGTGTTCATTTATTTAGTGCATTTGCGGTTGCTTGATGTAATTAAGAAATAAAAATGTGGGTCTCGTTCGGTTTGCAACGCCCTGAACCGAGGCAAGTACCCGTAAACATCAGTGTTGTCCACAAGGAAAAGGAGCTGAAGACGACTGCTGCATCTCTTGTCCTCGGGCCTTCCGGGGCACTCCAAAACACCTACCTTTTGGATTCTGTAGTCTGATACGCAAGGTTCTCTGATGTTTCAGCTCGCAACATTTCTCGATGACGAAACCGTGGTCCAACCATCAAAGTACTAACATGCCTGAATCCATGTATTTTTCATGGACTGGGCCAGATAACAAGAAGCTCACTTATTAAGGCTTCTTTTAACAGAATCAGCCCCAGAAATATTGGGCGTGGTCCAAGAATTTGGGCCATTTGAGAATCATGGATGGGCCCTACACTCCAGGGGAAGCGTACATTTAATTCTTTTTCGCGAACGCATCGTACATTTAATTTAACTTTGATTTGATAATGTTCCACCATGAGTCCCAGACCCGCACACATTAATGAACTTGAACTAGCGCTAGCCTCGACGGCTCTAGCGAAAGGCGGCGATCGACTCAGACGAAAAAAAAAACTTTGGGCCTGTTTGGTTTTTTACCCTACTAAATCTTCAGTAGCGTCAAACTTTTGATATATTTTAGTACTACCAATTCTTTGTTAGCGTACAAATGCATGGTACATATTTAAATTGCTACCAATATAAAATCAAATATTGATGATATAGAGAAGAAAGTTCTAGATTAGTGTCCAATTGTTAATGGGCATTACTAATGATTTGGCTTCAATCCAAACATACAATATTATTATTCAAGATACAAATAAATTGGTGAAGTTACATTTTGGCTTCAATAAAAAATAGCCCTTCAATCTCCCTGCCACTTTCCTTCTTTTCCAGCGGCTTCCTGATTATCGGCCTTGGGGGTTAGATTTAGTCGGATATCTCCTATTCTTTATTTATTTTAAAAGAGTCACCCTTCTCTCTCCGGCGGCATCCTGGTCGTTGTTGTGGGAGGAGGGTTCGGTCCCTTCTCCACTAATAAAAATAGTTTAGATTTAGTCAGGTCTATCCTGTTCTTTATGTAGTTCAAAAGAGTTGCTGGTGTTCGACTCTTTTTTCTCAACTTGATGGACATGGCCGATCTCATCGGTGTTCTTGTTCAGTAAACACTGGGTTCACCTTCAATGCCTTCAATCCGGAGTTTTGTTATTTTGCTTAGAATTGAAGGACGAAGGCTTGTCCTCTAACTCGTTGAACAGAAGGTTGTGTAGGCTGTTTGCTCCATCTACCACACTTACGATGGTCATATGCCCCGTCTCCTACATCAGTTTTGCAAAAGGTGACGGATGATTTCTTCTATGGGTTAAGGTGGCTTCAATCTCTGTCAGGAGACTAGTCTAGGGTATGCTCATCGACTCTACCAATTGCACCTAACCATGGTTTTTCTGCTTCTACCGTCGCTGTGCGTGAGGATCGGCGCATCGTTGATGTGGTCGTTGTAAGGATCTAGTTATTTTTCTGTATCCTTTTAATTAGGTCTTTCTTTGCGTATGCTATGTTTGAAGTGTAATTTGACCATCACTTAGGGGCTTTTATGCAAAACTAGCTATCAATGTACTTTATCCTCAATCAATAAAACACAATAACAAAAAAAGAGCTAGATCTGGTGCCGTACTAAAGTAGTAATAGAAGTGTCAGCAACTCAAGTCGATTTTTCAGATCATTAATATCCGCAGCACACATTACAAATCAGCAAGCTTTAGCAAACAAATTACATGCTAATTCAGAAACACAAAGCACCGCACCACATATAGAATAATTAAGCAGACGACTCGCCTCCCCTATGTAACCTGGACGAGCCGCGCGTCGTACGTGCGCCACACCCTACATACCGATTAGAAGAAACTCGCAGCTAACACTACCTTTGTTTGGGGAGCTGGAGACCCCCTATTCTCTTCCGGTTTCTGAGAATCATTAGCCGCAGAGTCCAGAAAATGAACTAATATAATAACTAAAAGCTGGACTTATTAGTTTCTCTGGAATCTCACTATCTGAATACTCATTAGCTGTCTTAGAATCTTCAGCTCTCCAAACAAATTGCATTTCAGTTAGATGTCACCGGTACAGGCAGCCCCGGTACGCCGGCGTCCAGTAGTCCATCGCGTTGCCATCCCGGTACACTTCGGGCGTCCACGAGACAGGCACCAAGCAAAGCCCCCTATTCCTCAGGTCATGCTCCATCGTCTCTCCCTTGCTCGCTTCTGCTTGATCTCCCCATGGAACGCTGTTACCCTGAAATCAAACATTTCACCACACACAGCTTGTGATTATTAGCCTCACAGTACTGGTTCTGAATTTCTGATTATTAGCTAGCCTGTCGGCTACAAGAGATTCTGAAGCTTAATCAATCATGTACCTGCTTGTTGCTCCTGCTGGAGTTCGTGTACGGCTCACTTAGCAACTGCACACATAGTATAAGAAAAGGAAGATGAGAGGAAGGATAATCAGCACGGCTTGAGAGCTCAAAAGGGGTCGTTTTGCGAAATGATTGCAACATGCATGCTGATGCTGTATACACGTACTGTCCTTTTCTCATGTTTTCGTGGCTGTTGAGAGGCAGTACAAGTTGAGAAACATTCTCTACTTTGCTCTTGGGTGTGACTAGGAAGCCCACTGACGAAAGGGAGCACTACCGGGTCAATTTTTCATATATGGAACCAGCTAAACAGTCACTGCAAATGATCCATTGCATCTCTGAAGATACCACACGCGAGGATTTGTGTGTGTATGTACGCTGCTCACCTGTAGTACACTTCCGTTTTACTACTAATGTCACGGTGGTCACAAAAATCATGTGCTTTTCTGGAAGATTTATAGCTAGGTCAAAATATAGGAGCTAGTACCTAACCTTTTTAATCCGTGAGGTCAAGGACCTGCTATCAGGAGATAGGGAGATTAAATTCATCGAGGGCCATAGGAGCCAAAACAGTATTAGCCATATTTTAGTAAATAAGGCTTGGTGCGAGTCTGTTTCGGAGCTCTGGCCTGAAAATTCTTGTAACTTAATTTGTCTCAGATATGGTGTGTGAGGAAGCTTCTCATGAGTAATATATTCCTTATTTCCCCGAAAAAAAAATATAGGAGCTAATACATAATTTGCATGTCGGGATGGTTGCAGGAACGGAATTTTACCTGTACTTGTTCGTGCAGAAACTTGATATACTTGATCGTTTCAAACAGTACCGATGCTGTATCCGTCTGGTCATGTGGTGCAATGCATAGGGAGCTGAGTTAGATTATACAGAAGAATTGCAGTTTCACACTATTTGCAGAAGAAAAATCAATGTAGTAATTGCAGACATATGTAACCTACATACCTTCCCAAACGGCGAAACGATTTGCTGAAGTGCTGTGATCTTCTCCCCTAGCTTTACTTTAGGCACTGGTTGCTGCATTTGGTTCCAAATTAAAACGATCAGTTCGTTCAAATACTGAATATATGGTCGGACGATTTCAGAGATAATATCAAATACTCCATTTGTCTTCTATGTGTTGTTACCTTAGGAGGTGATGCTTTGGAAGCCTCTTGCTTGGACTTCTTGACAGTGCTTTCCTGCCTTTCCTCTGACTTCCTCTTCTTACGATCAGTCGCCGCCGCTCCACTGCCGCTGCTACTACTCCTTGCCTGAAACGAGATAATTAATTAGCACAACGCCACAAACATGATTCAAAATCCACGCGCACATATGCAGATACAAAACTGCATATATTCAGTTATTTAGTACTACGTACTACAAGCAGGCGTTTTAGTACTACGTATAGGACTACTTTGCACTTATTCAGTTATTCTCACTGGCCTATTTATGTTGGGGGTATGAAATGGCACGTGAATCTTACCGGGACAGTCTCCTGTTCTTGTCGATTGCTGTCAGACGAATTGGCGCATCTCATGTACGGTTGCACCGACGTCGACTCGATGGCCGGCGTGTAGCCGGCGAATGACCCAAGATCCGGCAAGCTCCTCATGCCAAAAGGACTAGCCTCCATTTCCCGGCCGTCCTGGCAGCAAATCTTGTCAGGCTGATCTCCTAAGCCTGAATAATCCAGGCTACTGTTGTGCACGCCAACGCTAGCACTGCCGGAGCTTATTTGCTGCAGAAATGAGGCCATGGGGCTAATCGCAAGCTCGTGCTGCTCCTGCTGCTGATGGTTGCAGCTGCCTTCCTTCGTCAGCTGATGATGGTGGTGGTGGTGGTGTTCGCCGTAGCATGCTGGCGTGCTACTCATCATGGTCATGTCCTGGACCTGGAGGACGGTGTTAGTGCCACCCAAGTACAGCGGCGAGCCGGCGATCTCGTACTTGATCGGCGAGACGTCGGAGCGAGCATGATGATCGAACGACCGTGCCGTCGTCGTCAGGGTCGTCCCCGCGGGTGCGACATTGTAGTGCTCGGAGGCGGGGACTTCCTCGAACATTTCCGGCGTCACGTTCTTCGACGCGAGCAGATCGAGGAAGTTCTCCCTGTAGCCGCCGCCGGTGGTGCTGTTGCTTCTGAAAGGAGGAATTCACCGGCGTTGGAATTGCGATCATTTACACAAAGCATGAAATATATAGAGCTAGACAGAGCTGTTAATTAGAGGACTCACAGTTCGCCGTGGCTCCAGCCGTGTCCGTGGGCGTGCTCGCCGGCAGCCGGGAGACGCATGACGTCGGTCGACGACGAGGAGGAGTCGGCGGCGAAGGCCGAGCCGGCGAGCGCCGTCGACCCGGAGTAGGGGCTCCAGTAACTGTAGGGAAAAGAGGACGAGGGCTGCAAGGCCGCGTGCGTCGACAGCTGGTGATGATACTCCCACATGGTGGCGGCGGCGGCGGCCGGCGAAGTGGAGGCGCTGCACGCGGTAGCCGAGTCGGCCTGGTGGTGGTCGGCGGCGGCGGCGGCGGTGGCTCCCTGCTGGGGCATGAAATACTGGAGTTGCACTGCGCCGGCGTGCAGACGCATCGCATGGGTTCGGAGCTGAGGATTGGAATGTGGAGTGGACCAAAGTTGGTGCTGGGGCCTATTTGTAGGCGCTTGGAATATTTTCCGGTGGGGTTATCGAGGAGGATATGTGCTTACGTCGGCGTGATGCAAGCATGCTGCAAGACATCATTGATGAGTTTTTTTTTTTTTGCTTCTTTTCTTTTCAATTTATAATATGCACGCTATGAAGCAGCCATAGTTAAAATGCGTTAGTGTAAGCATATAATTTTTATAGCTAACTTGTATAGGGTAGCGACCCTGTCCTTTCTCAGAAGTATACCTTTTTTTCTTTTTTTTGCAAATCTTGAAGCAATCTGGTTGTTGGTGGTGGTACTTCTGAATTTGAAAGTGCTACTTGAAGGGCCTTTCAATCAGTCTACTTGAGAATTGAGATGTTATGTGGTTCATCCTGGGAGGTTCAATTTACTACCTATCCATTCGTTAGCTAGCTGGAGTATCAATGAGTAAAATTCACCGGCAGTTCTTAAACTAATTGCATTGTCATATATGTCCCTACACTTCAAAAATACAAATCAAGGTCTCAAAACTCGTTAAAAGTATGTCATCTAGATCCAAAACTCTTCAGGTGCTTGCATGGTTGATTGACATTTCACTCTCTTAATGACACTCAAAAGGTGTATGTGACAGTTTCACGTCAGCACCATGTGGACTTGAAGGGGTATGCGGAGTTTTGGACATAGATGACATACTTAACAAGTGGCCCGGAACTTGCTTGCTATGCATTTTGAAGGGGCCAAAATGACATAGCATGGTAAGTTTTAAGGACCGTCACTATACTTTATGAGTTTACATTCACGAACGCTTTACTTGACAACTTATTGGATTGGATTTAATTCTATGCCAGGTAATGGTTTGAGGACGACAAGAGAGTTTTGGGATTCTAAAATCTATCTATTATATTATTAAGACAGCTCGACAAGGAGGCACCACGTTTGTTGTGGAGGCTAGAAATTCCCACATTAATCGGAGAAAAAGAGAAAAAGAAAAGGAGAGTCCAAATAGGAATACAATCTAAAAATAGGTGAAATTCGGAATTAAAAATAAGCAATATTAAAAGAAGTTTCCATATACGAACCCAATATGAGATTAATCAAAATTCGAAATAAAAATAAAATAAAATCCAAAATTAGAAAAGGAAAGGAGAATCCAAGTAGGAATACAATCTAAAAATAGCTGAAATTCGAAATTAAAAATAAGCAATATTGAAAGAAGTTTCCATATAAAAACCCAATACAAGATTAATCAAAATTCGAAATAAAAAAATAAAATCCAAAATTATAAAAGGAAAGGAGAGTTCAAGTAGCAATACAATCTAAAAATAGCTGAAATTCGAAATTAAAAATAAGCAATATTGAAGAAGTTTCCATATAATAACCCAATACGAGATTAATCAAAATTCAAAATAAAAATAAAATAAAATCCAAGATTAGAAAAGGAAAGGAGAGTCCAAGTAGGAATACAATCTAAAAATGGCTGAAATTCGGAATTAAAAATAAGCAATATTGAAAGAAGTTTCCATATAAGAACCCAACACGAGATTAATCAAAATTCGAAATAAAAAAAATAAAATCCAAAATTAGAAAAGGAAAGGAGAGTCCAAGTAGCAATACAATTTAAAAATAGCTGAAATTCGAAATTAAAAATAAGCAATATTGAAGAAGTTTCCATATAAGAACCCAATACGAGATTAATCAAAATTCGAAATAAAAATAAAATAAAATATAAAATTAGAAAAGGAAAGGAGAGTTCAAGTAGATATACAATTTAAAAATAACTGAAATTCAGAATTAAAAATAAGCAATATTGAAATAAGTTTCCATATAAGAACCCAATACGAGATTAATCAAAATTTGAAATAAAAATAAAATAAAATCCAAAATTAGAAAAGGAAAGAAGAGTCCAAGTAGGAATACAAATTAAAAATATCTGAAATTAGAAATTAAAAATAAAGAATATTAGCAAAAGAAAATAAAAAAAGAGTTCAAGTGGGAATACAATTTAAAATTAGCTGAAATTCGGAATTAAAATTAAGCAATATTAAAAGAAAAATCCATATAAGAACCCAATACGAGATTAATTAAAATTTCGAATAAAAAATAAAATAATATCCAAAATTAGAAAAATTAAAAGAGAGTTCAAGTATGAATACAATTTTTAAACAACTGAAATTGAAAATAAAAAATAAAAACATTAAAAGAACACAATACGGTATTAACTAATTTTTTTAAAAAATAAATTCTGAAATTAGAAAAAGAAAAATAAGATTTTAATTAGGAATACAATTTATAAATAACTAAAATTTGTGATAAAAATAAAGACTATTGAAAGAAAAGACCATCTAAAACACATGACGAGATAAATTAAGTAACATGCCTATAAAGGAGTAGAGTGGTGGCGGTTGATACGACATATAAAAATTGTTAATAAAACACCAAATAGAATCCTAATGACGATTAAAAGGAGGGACATCAGGCAGGCCGTGAAGCAAACAAGTAAGGCAGTTGCTGGGACTTCTAGAAAGTAAAAAAAAAATAAACCCCATTGATAATCATATTCAATTTTTAAAATCTCAATGACAATAAAAAGGAGAAGCAGCGGGCGGGGTGTATAAGAGTGTAGCTGCAGAGCCGCCGACGGTTGACGGGACTTCTAGAAAATAAAAAAATGAATTCCAATGATAGTTATGTTCGATTTTTAGAATCACAATGACAATAAAGAGTAGGCGAACAGGCTGTAGAGGGCATAGTGGCATCGTTTGATAGGACTTCTAAAAATTATAAAAAATAAAACTACAAGTCCAATTTTTAAAGGTTCGGAACTTCCAAAAATTAAAAAAACCCAATGATAATCATGTTCGATTTTAAAATCTCAATGACAATAAAAAAGGGAGGCAGCGAGCGAGCCGTAGAGGAGTACAATGAGAAAGCCGCTGATGATTTGGCAGGACTTCTAGAAAGTAAAAATAAACCCAAACAATAATTATGTTCGATTTTAAAAATCTCAATGACAATAAAGAAAAGAAACAGTGGACGGGCCGTAGAGGAGTATAATGGCAACGTTTGACGGGGCATCTAGAAATTATAAAAACGAAACCCAACGTGATAATAAACTCTAAAAACTATAAAATCCAATTTTTAAAGGTTCCAAGAATAATGAATAGAAATAGTGGTATATCGAGCAAGCAAATAAAGAAGGAGATGACATAAGGGGTAGCAACTGGTGTGACTTTTAAAAACTATATAATTAGAAATACGAGGATGATAAGGTTTGGTTTTTTAAAGTCTCAAGACAATGAGATAGTTATTTAAAAAAATTTAAGTAAAATCATATAAAAAATATATGATTTTATTTGGGTGCTAGCCGCGCAATTGCGCGGGCCGCCCAACTAGTTTAGTTAATGAGAATCTAGAGAGGTTGCATTTCCCCACTTCTGCCTATTAATTGGTTCATTTGTTCATTTTCTGAATTATGAATTATGTAGCTTTTGATTCTTAGAATCTAGAATCTAGGTGAAAATCCAAATTGTTCGACAGAGTTAGAGATTAACTAGAGCTGTCAAAAGCTCTTTCAAATAGAACTAATACTTTTGGGGATTATGTAGGTCTAAGAGCTTAGCTGTGGCTCCAATTGGTCTTGCATGTGCGACAAACCCAATAAGATAGCCTAGATGCTGTTTCAACTTCTAGCGGAAACAAATGCTTACTCCAAAAATTTTCACATTAGCAAAAAACATTGTTTAATCAATGCATTGTTAGTTAAACTATTATTTTTCTCCTTGTTCCGTACGCTCTCTCGTGATACAAGTGGCATTGCATGGCATTTAATTGGTTGAATTGCTCATGCTTGTGTTGGAGCGCGAGTGCAGCTAGTGCTTAAATAGTTGCCCGGTGATATACTCTCTCACCTCCAACTCACTGCTAAAACTGATGTGGCAGGCTTATCGCTAGTATACTACTTATACTACTTTCTCCGTTTCAGAATGTATGCATTTTAAAGGTAGATAGAGATGATTAAAAGAAAGTATATAGAGATGATTAAAAGAAGGCTACGATTGATGGAGAAGAGAATGTAGGTGAAGAGAATGGTTGTAATTGGTTGAGAGGAAAGGATAGGTCAAGAAATAGCTTTATTTTGAAACACGATTGTGCTAAAAATAGCTATATTTTGGGAAGGAGACAGTACATCACTTAAGATAACATGATGTGCATATATATAGTTTTACTTCTAAAGGTAAAAATTAGAGGCAGGACAAAAGCTTCTTAATTACAAGGTTTTATAGATGCAGAAGAAATGGGCATAGGTTAATTCAGAAACTTGAATTGTCAGTACGAGACACGGTGATAACCTGCCAACCTTCTCACTGAGACTGCTGCCACGTTATTCGGTGATGGGCGATTGGTCCATGAAAGGTGCCTGTCACAACTCGCACGGAGTAAGCAGCACCCGGCTTCTTGCGCATCAAGAGCATCACTCTGTCCTAATAGTGTTCTTTCGTAGTGGTAAACACTGAAAAAAAAACTCACAGTCACACAATAGTCCCAACAACTCAACCGTCTTCGGGGCATAAAGCAAGCCAAATCTAGGAAGTAATTAATCAGATGTGTGCACCAAAGATGTAGTACCGCAAACACCGGAAACTCGAGCATCTCTGTGTACCAGCCTTGTGCTTCTGCAAAACCCGTCGCACGCTCAGCAGCCTGCTTGATATGATTCTGGAAATGATATGGACGTGCTGCTTAGTCTGCTGATAGTATGTCTTCCAGATGGTGAAGATCTGCAGCATACAAGTAAAAGAAGCCACTCAACTTCGAGACGTCATATCACGTCACTTTGGAGTTCTACAGTGGAGTACATTTTACTAACCTAAGCTGACTTTTTTCATCAACTTTACTTTACCATGACCATGTCAGGTAACTTATCATTACAAAATGAAGCCATGGGAAATCACACAGCTATGGCCGACGAGGGAGGAATATTCTCAGAAACAGTAAGAAGAGCTACTTTGCTCCATGGTCTTCTTCCACTTGAGTGGGTCAGTTGACTGTGTCTCAGTGTCATGAATCCCTCTGCTGTTTAGTTCCCTGCTTACTGCACCACCTTGTCTTGTTTACTCTTTGTTCTCTTGCTGCTCGGCCAACAATGGAGCAGAGACTGCATTTGCAGGGCCATTGAACAAAGAGCTCGCCCTAGGGTTGGTGAGTGACGGTGATGGCTTTGGTGGTAGTGGGCTTGGGGACAAAGGCTTCAAGAATGCAATTCATTGCTTCCTGACGCTTTGCGTCACATAAGATGATGTGTGAATGCCAGGAAAGTATCAGCCTGAAATCTGAACACAGATTAAAATCAGCGGCAGGTCAGATGCAGAAAGAGAAGCAGGGAAACAGCATAATGTGTTGGCTGCCTTTCCTTAATTGAGGATAAGGCATCTCTTCCCAGTGAGGTACTCCGGTAAAAATGCAAATAAACTGTTGATTAAAATACTTTAGTATCTTCATTAGCATGACAAATAGATGTAGAACTATAGGGTAATATGCTAAGAAACCTAGGGAGATGAAATTTCCAAGACAAAACTGAAAGGGAAAGCTACAGAATGAGACCGGTGACTAAAGCAGACAGTTTTTTTTTTATCAGGGTAACAAAACGGGCATCATATGTAGTATAACAGATATCTCAAATACAGAAAGTAACATATGAGCAAATATATAGCATACTGATGTAACTCAATATGTACTCTGTGATTTTCTTTCCTTCGCAAAGCAGTAGTTTACATGTTCCAGCAAGAGAAGAAAGTGGCACTTACAGCTACAGGAGCGCCCCAATAACAGAGTGATTTCACACTATATTCAAGTCAGCAAATTGTTAGCTTGGACTGAGAATTACTGCTGTACAAAATGCTGGGCTGCTGGCACAGTTTTTTTAATACATAATCATGGATATGAGAAGGTTATAAGCACTAGGCTAGTGCAAATTTAAAAAGGAATACATGAAAAATAGCACTCATATTCAAAACTAAGATTAGCAATGAGCCCATGATATGAATAAATACTCAAATTAGCTATTGACAAGAACTCACAATGGATCACACCTTGGCACGTGTAAAAGGGGCATAGTGGAGTATAAGCTTAAAATGTGTCCCATCACAAGCAGCATGCCTCAAATAGCCTTTCTTCAAATCAATAATATCCTGGGGACCCGCACAGATTATAGAACAAAATAAAGACGAGCTTGAAATTTAATAACAGGACTTCAGTGGAAACTGGGATTGCTCATAACACTTGTCAGCATATGATCATCTGGTCCACACTCAAATGGTTGAGCAAATGGCCTCCAATCAGTAACACTAAATAAATACAAATAATTTATTTCCTGTGCTTTAGACTTGCCACAGCGGTGGTTCCTGCTGACAATTATGTGAACTCCACTTCCACTATTTAATTCTCAGAAAACTCATCCCTGATCACTTGCCTGATCTGACCCAAAAAAACTGGTAATCTTAGCAGTTAAATTAAGAGGAGGAGGAAGCGTGCCCTAATAATACTCAGTAACCTAATTGTCATCTGGGATCAGCTGACTGAAATTGGTTGTCTCATCGAGCTAAAGGAATGTTGTGAAAGGAACAGCAGGCACTTTTCGTCAGGTTCTTGTTTATAAGGGGATGACTAACTTTGGATATCATCGAACAAAGAATATGGTTTCCAATGCCGCCACCCTGTCTCCATTCGTGCAGTACACCAAGTCTGCACTCTGGGTAGCTAACTACACAAGCATGGACTGGAGAAATTTCCTTTCGCGTGCTCAAAGTTAGCAGTGTCAAATAGCAATTAGGTTGAGATGTCAACCCAAGTGCGGTGGCAAAGTTTTCAACTTGAGCTTTGACAAGAGACAGGAAGAATAACCAGTCGTATCCTATCCATGTATTTACAACATGCTTAAGATTTAAGAAGACCATAAACAAGCATTGCAGGGGCATCACGCCTACACATAAAGTTTTTCAAGTGGTTATATATAATATCTAAAGGAATGACTACACACGGACCCTCCACCTTTAGGAAAGGGAGAGAGACAAAACAAGGATAGGCAGCATTAAGCACGCGCATCACATATTCTAATAGAAGAGGAAAAGCACACCAGGAGGAGGCTCTGTGTACGGTGAACTTAATGACAGGCAATTGAAGGAGTAGCTTTGTTTACTCCAAGTTGACTCTCAGTGAAATGTGTCAACCACTAGAATAATATAAGAAAAGAAGCTTGGAGGCAAGGACAGACAGCTCATTCTCCCTCAATTTGAAAGATGTCGAGCGTGAAGCTTCCCCACTAACGACCTTAGTAGGTTGGTGGAGGATGACAGCGATCAGTGAAAATAGCATTTTGCAATGAGAAAAATAGCTGACCTCTAGAGACAACCGTGTGATAATACTGCATTCATGCATGACAAACTATGAGATGGATGTAAGCAGAGTTTTGGACTCTTCTTGAGCCTCCAAATCTCTTCCTGTCGTGACATGCTCACAGGTACAAGATCACTCTGGTTAAGTCAAAGACGTTAAGCACTTGGAATAGGAAGATGGTCAAAAGAAGAGTCATGTCTCTTGAAAGGTCTCACGGTGGATATCATGCTACACACTTACACCGAGGTCACTATACAAATTGGTGCAGGAGCTAGTGACTTCATCACCAACTGTAGTTAGCTTAGAGCCTAGAGGTGAATTTGACTACAGGACAAAATAGTAATTCATACATTATTAGAAATGTCAGTTCATAAATATGAAAAGATACTCCGGATGGACATGTTGAGACATATACAGAATACAAAATAAAATATGTGGATGCAGATTTACTGAGTCACTAATGATAACTGAAGATATAAAATATGACAGAACTAGAAAAGGACAGAGGAATAAAAGGTTACCTGGACACAGCAGTATGCTGTAGCTCTTTTGTAGCCAGCTCAAATGCATCCTCTGGAGTCAAGAACATCTCAATGTACCTAAAAATGGTTTCAGACATATCGATATTCTTCTTAAAAGAGGGCAATGGTGGTGGCAGATTCACTGCCTCCACCTCACCAAGTATAGTAACTTCTTATTTACCATCTACTCCATCATGTTTTATACCAACTACCCCATGTACTTTTATGTTATAAAATAATCCCTTTACATATATGATTATATCATATTTCACCTGTACAATATAACATCTACAGGTACAAAATTGTCCCAAAAACCTCACTATTAATTTGTTTTAATCCGTAGCAAAGCATGGGTATCTGGCTAGTTATAAACTAAAGTTGATGCAGATAGTAAAAGATACTATATGCAGATTCATTTGGCAAAGAATATGCATTAATATTAGAGGCAATCAAGAAGATTTACAGTGTCAAAAGGGCCCTAACATTGATCAAATATATAGTATTTGACATTTAAGTGCAACTGCATGATTAGTCCTCCACAGTTGAGAATCTAGGCTTAGGTTACAACGTTCAGTTGGAACTTGGAAGTGTCTGATGACTGATGGCATACAAAACAAATACTCTTAATCTTCATAGGATCCAAAGAGCAAGTCAGAATTCCGACTCCATACTTGTTCTTTTTTCCACCGGCCCAGCAAAGGAGTTTTTTTTTCAATGCTTTCATACTGCTGCATTGAAAATTAAGAGTTAAATAGAGGACAAATAAAGAAAGGTGCACTTTAGTAATACTCTCTCTATTTCAGGTTATAAGATGTTTTGACTTTGGTCAAAGTCAAATTGCTTTAATTTTGACTAAGTTCATAGACAAATATAGCAATATTTACATTACCAAATTAGTTTTATTAAATTAATAATTAAATATATTTTTAAAATAAATTTATCTTGGGTAAAAAATATTACTATTTTTTTCTATAAACTTGGTCAAATTTGAAGCATTTTGACTTTGACCAAAGTCAAAACATCTTATAACCTAAAACGGAGGGAGTAGTATGAATCAAAACAAAATTCCATGGCATCACAAGAAAATCACTACACCTGAGAAAAAAGAAAGAAAATAGCATCTAGTTAGGTTACCTCCAAAAACCTATTTAACCAAACAAGGAGACATCAAGATAGTGCTGAGTGCCATATTGTTGCTGATTCCTGATATGTACACCTCCAGAGGGCAGTACCCGTGCTAAGAGAATACACGCCCCACTACAAAACAAAAATGTGTATATTCCACATTGCCTATCCGAGGGCTTAACACTGGCTTCAATCATCAGCTGAACTATCAATTCACCACCAGCATAACAGCCATCTTGCATCCACCACACATTTCATAGTCACTAACACTGGACCACCCTAACATAACACCATCGGTGACAGCAATCACACAAAACCATCCAAACAGCAGCATATACAGTCCGCAATTCTACACCACAAAAAGAATACGAGGTACCTACTTAGCATAGGGCCCCTATGTAGGAAGAAAAGTAGTGGACAGGGATGAATGTGGCGGTACGCAGCCTACACATCCTCACAACCTAATAGCATAATACAGCATAAATGGCAGTAGCTATTCCATACCTAACGGTGCAAAGCCATCATTTTGGTTATACCATGAATAATACAAGCTGCGGAGAACATTGCAATTTTGAATTAAAAATCCAAACTGCAATCACATCACAAGTTTGCTTACCTTCTAACGATTGCCAAACCAATCACGCATCATTATGTGCTCAAGTGAATTGCCCAACCAATCACGCATCATTATGTGCCCAAGTGAATTGCTAGAGAAGAGACCAAATAAAGTGCTGATCTCGTAGGCCCTCATCTCAATCCTTCTTCCATACAGATGATGTGGTAATGTATTTCTGTACTGAATCGACTCATTACGTTCCCCAAACTAAATAAATCAGCTCTCTAAATTAGGATAGGTTCAGAGTAAGGATCAATAAATCAGTTCTCTAAATTAGGATAGGTTCAGAGTAAGGATCAAATCGTCTACTTCCTCGAACCGAACCAGTACCAAACGCACCAAAAGGGGATGAACTGGATCTAGTCATCATCAAAGCTAACATCGTGGGTAACATCAACCCCCGTTTCAAACGATTCGTCCGACTGGCCCCGAAACCAGCGACTTGAGAAAGAGCCTCACCTCACCTCACTTGCCGCAGCCGCCGCCCGGGGTACCTCGCGCGGCTGCGCCTTTGGGTGGCGCCGCGGGAGGAACCTGGACTCGGTGGGAGCCACTGGTCGACGGCCGGTCGGCTGCTCGTCCGGCACCGTCGGCGCGGCGCAACTGTGCTGCCCTCGATGCCTCCGGGGGCGTGGCCACGGTGGGTTCGTCGGCTGACGCAGCGCGGGCCGTGGCGGTGGTGGTGGTCTCTCGTAGCCCAGCTTTCTGTAAGATAAGTGGCCCGGTTGAGCGTGCGGCGGTGCGGGTGGGTGTGCACGCGCTCGGAGGTGTGAAAACACGCCCGAGTACCAAGCGGCAGCGTCTGTACTACTTGGGCCCGATAATTTGAAGGTATTTGGGCCGAAAGACTGTTACGGCGGTAACACCAATTCGATGAGGAATAAGTTCACCTTACTCGAGTTTTGATCGTAATCTTAAACTAATATAACACGTCCTTCAACTTATATAAAACTAAATTATCAAAATCACACGATAGTATTGTGTCCGATTTTGACTGATGAGACAACTTGGTAAGCAGTGAGACCCATGTGAGACCTCATATGTTAGTGGCTAGCGCTTTGTTCCTCCTCTTTCTTCCCTTTCTGCTAATGGGAGTTGTAGAGGGAGCAAACGGGGGATGTTGAGGATGAAGACGACATGGACGTGCGCCGAGTAGGAGCGCTTGATATCGCCACCGTTGATGCAACCGGCTACTCGGGGATACTAGAGCTATGGCACGACCCATAGAAGACGACCTATGCCACCTGTCTTCTTCGACACGATGGGAGGATGGAGCTATGGAGCTATGCCAGTATGCCACCCATGCCTCGATTGTTGCCTCTCTCCCTATATCCCGTTGGCCTGCTACCTGCAGGCTAGGAAGAGGGAGAAGGGGAAAGAGGAGGAAGAAAGCTAGGAGGGGAGAAAAGGTGAAAGGAGGAGAAAGCTAACATGTGGGGTTCATACAGGTTCCACGCTGACTCAGCCGCCACATCAACAAAAATATAGAACTATACTGGCTGGGATCTTAGCTAGCTACACCGGTATTATAAGTTGAAGGACATGTTATATATGTTATTGTGGTTTAGGGATGTGATTCAAACTCGTCGTTAACATGTTATATATATTATTTTATTTTGTGGAAAGATTTACAATACATATCCGAAAGACGTGATCAAGTCTTCAAAAAAAGAAAGACGAGATCAAAGCTAAGGGAAAGAAGCGTGGCTGAACATGAATCGATCAATCGCGTAGAGAAAAAAAATCACTGCTTCGGGCCAGCCTCATCCGCGCCTTTATTTTTTTTTTCATGAAACCACAGATGCAGCCTCTGCCATCGATGTCCAGAGCCAGTCCACGACACAACATCGGGTCCCGTTCGTCGGCGTACGGATCGGTCGAGTTGGAGGTGGCCAGCCTCAACACGGCTGCGCAGCGTGTCTCGCCCACGGTTTTGTTTCTCGATCGACAAGTCGGCAAGACGGGAATCGTCGCATCGTGGACAAGATTGTGAGGCGCTTCGGTCTTCCTGGGCCATGCTTCGTTTGGGCATTGTGCGGCCCACGGTGGTGTTCCCGGGCGCAACATGCTCCCTCCACTTCTTGCTTTCCGGGCCACAGGCCACAGTTGTTCTTTCTCGAAAGGGATGTGTGTTGTGATCATCATTCATACTAAGAAGATCTAATCGTCAGTCCGTTGTTGTGTACTGGGGTTTATCCCCTAATATCTGTTCTTGCTTAATAAAGTTGGTTGTGTTTAAAAAAAAAGGTTATGAAGAAAAAGGTAGTTCGACAAAGCATATGATACTCTTTGTCGTGTCAAAGAGACCAAGATAAGTACAGGAGTAATCGTACAGCTGCCCAACCTAATCAGCACCGGTGACCGAGAAAAGCTCGTTCTACCTCTCGACAGATCGCCGTTAGCTAGCTACCGAGCATAGTCGCCCATCGTAAGTACTAGTACTTCCCATTCACGCATACATAAGGACATTCGGAATCATTTTCTTTCTCTTGAACTTCGATCGTGCGACTGTTGAAACCTCCTTTGTTGCATGCTAGCTCCATCTGTCACGCTCTGGCTGCCGCGTAGGCTGGTGCATACATCTGGAGGAATCTTTGCGCTGCGGTGATTATTAGTGGGGTCGAGAAGATGGGCGCCGTTCTGATGGCATTGGTTGGAACCGCCCGTGAACACTCCAGCAGTCCAGCTCCATGTACCTGATCTGTTCTCTAGCTTGCTTTTCCTTTTCAGAGAATATCACGCGTTCAGCCCGCTTGTTGCACTGTAACGCGGTCAGTGCCACCATCGGAGAGGGACATCGACATGTTACCTGTACGGCTGTGCTCAATATATAAACCCGTGTGCCGTGGTATGTATAAAAGATCTACGGTAAGTACTGGTTTCATGGCAATTAATCGTTGTTTAGGATTTTTTTTACCTTTTCGAAATGTAAATAAAATAGAGGGACTGGAATTAGGTTTTTTTTTTGGAAGTTTCGAACTAAATTACCACACAAAACCTGGAAATTGGGCCTTTTGTTAAATTTAAACAAATTCTAAAGCTGGAAAGTAGAATCGTCGTTGATGACGTATGTTCTCATTGGTGATCGACGTAAGGCAACAGAAATCGGTCATTGGTCTCCGTGTATGGCTGTATGCATATGCAAGCCCCCTGCAAAAAGGCGCAAAAGAGTGTATAGTACGGTGAAGGAACGGCCCAGCGCAGGCGCATGCAGCACATGCATGTTTTCCAACAGCGCTCGCGCTGGAAAGTAGTACGCGTTCGTACAGTATCCTGTTTGACATTCTAGTTGTCGGGTGGTTGCTTCGGCCTCTTGCTGTCCCTCGGTCCCTAATCCTTCGCGTACGTTGATCCGCGATCGCTCGTCGACTAGCGGAAGAACAGGTTTTCAATCGATGGAGTACGCGCGCGCGGTACCATCTGCTACTGTAGCTAGCACTCGATCGATCGATCGATTGGCGCGGCGGTTGCTAGCTGCGCATATGCTTAGATGCAGGCTGCCGATCGAAAGCCTGAAACAACGTTACTTGCGTTGCAACTTGCAAGGACGTCATGCGCGTACTCGGTTCTTCAATTGCCGTGTACTGCATCCTAGTGTCGGCCACTTTTTAGCCGATTTTATCTGCATGGACGGACTTGAATTGTGTGTTTATGTGTCCCCGTGTTTCGTTGGGACTTAGGACACTACCGTGTTTTTTTCTTCCTTGTTTGCGAAGCTTTTGGATGCAGTATCAATCTCTTCCGGAACACCGGCCCGTGAATACGCACTGAGTTTCGGAAGAGAGAGAGATTAAAGTGTCGCATAATTGGGTTTCAGATAGCAGTACAAGTTACTACTGAAAAGATTGGATTTAACGTGGATACCTCTCTCGGTCCTCCACGGTTGCGTGTTAAATATGCACAGGAACAGCCCCTGGCGTGGCACGATTACAGCGGAGAGATTACAACAAATCTTATCAAGATTAAGAGATAAACACAGGAGACTAACAACCATGATCTATCCCTCAAAGTTAGGAAGCTAATCCTATCACTAACCGTGACTAGATAGAACAAATCTTAACACCCCCACACAATCACAACACAGGCAACAAGTTGAGATTGCGCCTGAAAGCATCCATTTGTTGAGCAGTGAGGACTTTGGTGAAACCATCAGCAAGTTGATCCCTTGTAGAGATAAACCTGATCTCTAATAGCTTTTGTGCAACTCGCTCTCGCACAAAATGAAAGTCTATCTCAATATGTTTGGTTCTTGCATGAAACACACACTACACTGGCCAAGGTCACCTGTGACGGGCCCAAACCCTCATCTTTGACGGCTTCGCGCATGGTCAGTGATCAGTGGTCACTGGTGAGTCCAGTCACCTTTGACGGGTGGCCGGCCGTCACAGGTGACACCCACCTCTGACGGGCAAGTTACTAGAAGGCCGTCAGAGGTGTTGGTCTCCGCTAGCCTTGAGCGAGTTAGGACCCGTCACAGGTGACTCATCTCTGACGGCCCTTTAAATAAAGGCCGTCAGAGGTTGAGGTCTCCGTAGTTAGAAGCTGTCACAGGTGATCTACCTGTGACAGCCCCAAAAGTAAAGGCCCGTCACAGGTAGGTCACCTCTGACGGGCCTTTATTTGCTAGTCCGTCACAGGTTATGTTACCTTTGACGGATTTTTGTTCCGACCCGTCACTGATGAGTTAATTCCAGAAAAAAAATAAATGCTAAATATTGGCTAGCCTCAGGATTTGCTAGCCATGCCCTCTGAAAAATAGAAACATCACAGATATATTCCAGTCACAGATCCATCACAGATACATCACCCCCCCAATATAACATCACAGATCCCCAACAACACATATATGCAGTTCAAATGCCACCATTTTGCACAGCAAATTCACACCCCTTGAAAGCCACAATTTCGGTCGTTGCTCATAGAACCGCATATATACTTACCAAATGGATTAAAGCCATAATGTCATCGACCTGCACAACCTGTCAATAAGGAAAAAAAAAAGGAGAAAACAGATGAATAGTACAACATAAATCGTAGTTGATCAAATGTGATGACAATTTAGTAAAGTACCATAAATATTGCACATATGAAAGTAAATTACATTGCACTCTATAAAAACATAATTTTTTACATCGCCAGAAATTATAAAAACATCTTTTTTACATCACAATAAATTATCTAGCCAAGTTCATGAGTCTATTTGGCATGAAAACGTCCTTTCTTGTTCATTATTTCTGCAAGAATAAAGGCGCACAATTCGCCTCTGATAGCGGGGGGGTTGATGGGTGAGATCTTGAAGCCAGCTCTACATTTCTGTTTAATAAATAAGAGGTTAATTAGCACGTTTTGAATAGCAATGTAGATATTGAAATGAGCTTATTCGCCATTAGCAACAACCTCAGGGTCGAAATCTTTCACCTCTCTTAGAAGTGTTGACATGTTGTGGCACACGTGGAAACCACATTGGTCTCCGATCTGTTGTGCGCATGCAAACTTGGTGTCATGATAAAGTTCATTCTTGCCCTCCTTGTGCCTACCACCCTTTTCCACATATGGGCCCCAAGCCATATTTAAGGCCTTGGTGATTTCACTGAAATCATAATCTTTGGACTTATTGGAGTTAAGGTAGGTAACCCTACTCCACTTAGGTACAATGACTAGGAGAATCCAATGTCGCCTGCGCAGTGGTTATGTAGCGTTAGTACTAAGAACCTTAACTTCAAAAACAATATACACGAAGGGTATTGTCCTCTTACTCTTGGT